TGAATTGCTGTCTGGCTCAGGCACTGTGGGCATCCACAGTGGTTCATGTCCTGAGTGTTTGCAGCTTCTGATACTGTGACTGGCACCGAGCTGGAAGGGAGCTGACAGCTCCCCACAGCAACTCAAACAATAGCACCAATCTCAAATGATGGGGGGAAAAAGCATAGCTTCAGTGTGGTGAACAATGAAACCCCCACCAAGAATGAGGAAAGTATGTAGAAGTTCCTGATGCTTAATTATTTTATTTGTTTGTAAGTTTGCTGCCTTTTGTGCTACTCCTGTCCCACATGGGGCTGAGCACAAATAATGTATTTGCTGTTTGTTCTGTCATCAGAGCAACAATCTCTTTGCCTCTGTTTCTGCTTTCTTCAAATGAAAGTCAGTCTCCATTTTAAGCTCTGAAGTCACCCCCTGTGTTTCTTCATGATTGTCTTTGAGATCTACGTTGACTGCTTTCCTGAAGAAAAGTACCAGTTGCTCATAGTCAGGGGAACATGCCTGCATTTATTTACATCTGAAAACAAGCAAGCAAATCTTAGAATGATTTGTGGCTTTACAAACTTTTTCTGAAACTATACAGCATTTATCGCAGCCAGCCCTGGCATCCTTCCTCCCATGTGGTTTGCTGCCGTGACATGTCAAGTCTTATCTTGGATTAGGTTGTTATCTCTTCAGGACTGAGGTTCTAGCCTCCATGGTTTAATGTCATTCACTGGGTCACATAGACCAGAACTATTTATGAAATCTCCAGGAGTCCCCTTTCTTGTGATGAAAACAATTAGGGATTCAGAATTTGCTTTCTGTTCCTGTATTCCCAGCTGTGCTGAGTATTCATGCCAGAAGGCATCAAATACATTAGTCTACTTGCAGAAAGGGATGGCAATAACAATGTAGCAGGGGAAATCAAATAAGCAACCATGGAAGAGTTGCTTATCGTTTTCAACCAGCCCTATGAAGACTTTATTAAAGGATTCCTTGGGCAGTGTCAAAAGAGCAAAAAGAATATTTGGGCCTATAATCGTTCCTGCAGCAAAGGCAGATTGATCTAAAATCCCAGTGTAAGAGAGTTTCTCCAGGAAGAGTATATTAGGATTTCAGAGTTAATCCCTCAATGATGTCACCAAATCTTTTTGAGTCTGTAATCTTCACCAGGTTTGCAGGACAGATTTTGTGGCTATTTTGACAAGACACCAAAGCCGAAGTTACTGTCATGGTGTGACCAAATTCAAGTGGCTGACAGAGCAGATATTAGCACCATTAAAACAAAAAATATAAAAGTGTGTTCCCTAGAGTTTAAACAGAAATGAAGCAAGATTGTAGTTTCTGGCAACAGAACCAGAACACGTTGCATGTAAGCTGTGATTCTGTCCATCTTAATTATATGGATGTCAGTGCGGCACCAATGGTGTGAGCCAGGAGACTATTAATTACAATGAAGAAATAAAAGGGGATCACAATTACAAGTGTATTCCATAGCAAAATTAACACTCATAAAGATGGAACATTTTTCTGACCAACACCTGCAGTCGAGGCTAAGCAGACCACATTGGATCTTTGGAATCAGTGCATGCACAGGGCGTCGTGGGTGTATTTTTCTTTCGAGGATTAAAAAGCATTCTTCTCCCTCTCTCCTCTTCTTGGTCACATCCAAGGCAGGAGTTTGCAGTATTGACTGCTCAGTGAAGAATATAATTGACAGAGTAGAGAGGGCTGCCACAGAGGAACTGTGCTTTGATGTATTAGAGCTGGGAGAGGTTCGGGGAGAGCAAAGGCAGTCAGATGTACAGACGACCTTTTGTACAAAGAACTACTGAGTAAGATTGTCTTTCCATCTGAAAAGTAGGTAATTGTCAGAGGACAGGATGAAGGTGTTTAAACTCATGAGCAGAACTAGTTGGTTGAATAAGGACACACTTTTCAGTTCTCAGCACAAGAACGAAGATGCATTGAATGAAAGAGGTAGGTGTCAGGTTCCACCAGAGCAAAGCAGTAATTGACTTTTTGACTAGCATGTGGGTTGACTCTGGAACAGCTCTGCACAGAGTATCGTAGTAGCTGAAAGTTCTGAGAGAATATGAAGTTCTAGGGATGAAGAGAGCTCAGTGAAGGAGTCTGAGATCAGAAATATCATCAAGTCCAATCAGAATAGAAATATCATAGGAAGAACGTCTGGCTCATGAAGTCCCTAAATGTTAAAAAGTAGGGAACAGGGAGAGTATGTTGGGGAAACATCATACATACTTGTCCTGGTCTTATTTCCCTAGGCATTAATTTTGACCACAGTGAGAGACCTGATATAAGGCTAGACAGACCTTTTGTTTGATGCAGTAAGATAATCTTGTGTTACTTACATTTGTATGTGTATAGAAAAGTTAACAGAAATATTAGATGTTCTTTTTTATGTATATCATCTCTCTCCATGTACTGCTAAATATACTCGAGGTATATTGTCCCCATATCAGCTGATATGTTTAAAGTCTGAGCCTTAGGAGGAGGATTAGCCATTAGAACAAGTTCATCCATTGAGGTATTCAAATCTTGATGCTTTCAGTGCCTCTAGTCAAGGTATGTTTTAGCCATGCACAGTATAGAGGCATAAGAACGAAATATTAGGACCTAGGATTTTCAGATATGGATGATCCAACAACAGATCCTTCTGGCCTCACCTGACCTAGAGAGTCTACAATGCACAAACCACTTCATGTGAACTAGACACCTAAGGCTCCTTCCCTAGTCTCTTGAGAGGAATTGGTTTGCTCAGGATCTAACTCACTTGACCTGTCTCAGCTACTTGCTTTGGAATCCTATCTATTCTTTTCACTGACTGTACAGAAAACCTTAGGGAAGTGAGTCAGACATGTACATTTACAAGAGTTAGATCAGCTTCATCCTCTGAGTTATTTACAGGCCTAGTTTTCTAAAAGTACCGGGAGTTTCACAACTCCAGTTTCACAACCCCAGTTTCACAACCAATAGCTTCTGTTTTTAAATTGTAAGTTCCACAGGTGTTTTACTATTATTGAAGAAAAATACTGTGCCAAATTCCATCACACCATCAAAACTCTGTGAATTTAATGAAACTTCAAAATGGATTAAATTAGCAAGCTGGACAGATGTTTTGATGAGATTAATTTATTGTAAAATTATATGTAAATGTATTTCCTATCTTGGTAAGCATATTGGCTCATACTGGCTTTGAATAAATTCATCGTAAAGTAGAAAAAGAACACAGAATTCTTCAAAGATGCTCTGAGATTTAGTCTTGTCTCCCTGTTCAGTAGAATTTCATGGAAATTCATAAGAACTACAGAATTATTTCCAAATCAATCACAATACATATACTTTTCATTTCTGTTTGTTTCTTATGCCTGCATTGAATTTAAGACCAGGGAAAAAAAAATCAATAACCGATTTCTTTCTCAAAGTTGTAAAGTTTTTGAATACTGAGACAAAAATAAAGCTAGTCATTCTCCTTATGTTCTCAAGTATGAACCCTCAAGAGGAGCAAAATCAGAGAGACCTAAAAATACAAATATGCTCCCCTTTTTCTTTTTCTTTTTCTTTTTTTCCCAATGCAGGACAGTGTGATTCGTTTGGCTTCACACATGACCTCTTGAATGTAAGCATTTTCAAAAGGGCCTAAATTAATGCAAATAAATCTTAACCTCATGGGTCACTATCCAACCTGAATTAATGCAAATTTTATGCAGTGTCATGCTTGGTAACCAAAGCTTAAGATAGACTGTTTTACCTAATTTCTTTTTATCTCTGCAGTCTCTCTAACAAAGTGAAATGAAGGTGAAACAGTTTGCTGTGCCCAGAGAGTCATTTATCTTTAAGATGTTCTCACCAATACTTTCTGCTTTCGCATTTAAGCACATCACTTAGACCAGTTTGATTTTACAGGCAGATCTCTTGGGACCTTCCACAGTTCATTTTGGGGTGAAAATTTGCCTAACCCTCCTGTCTGCATCCTGTATCCAACATGCTATGTCAAGGACTGAGGTGTATGAAGGGGCCTATGGAAGGGGGAAAGAGGGTAGGTCAGTGCTGCTGTACCTCTACGTCTCACCTACATGAGCACATTTGAGATAAAGGTGTGTGGCTGAGCAGGGGCTAAAAAGGACTGTGAGTCTTTTGTCTGAAGATATCCATGATAGGCTGTTGGGGTCTTGCAACTGAGTTTATCTCAGGCCCATGATAACAGCAATAACAGCAGCATACTGATCCAGAGAAACTGTGGTTGAACCCAAGCTTTCTAAATCCTGATGTCAAGCACAGAGATAAATCTAGGAATTTGTGTTGCCTGAAATAGTCTCTTATTAAGCCATAGATTCTACTAGGTAGTGTTAGAAATTTGATAACTGCTTCTTGGGGGGGCGGGTTGCTTGGTTTTTTTCTTTCCCCCAAGCAAAAACTCAGTTGCACACATCCAAGTTCAAGACTAGAAAACATGGGCAGACCAGGTCCTCCACTATACTCTGAGCAAATAGGACTCGACCCCAAGGTAAGACATGGGCAGCAGAAACACAGATGATGAGCACTTCTACTGCACTGTTACTTTATTTCGTAGTTCAGAATTCTCTTATCCCACAAACCCTGAGAGTGGGACTTATGTCACTTAATATTAGACATTTAAATTGCAGCTGGTCCCATGAGATTAATTTTATAAACAATGGGGAGAAGCAGTCTCTGGTAAAGTGACGCGACCAAGCCATTCTGGACCGTGATCTAGGATTGCCATTTTCTACCCATTAGGAATAAAATGGTCACTAGTTTTGACTGAAATACATAATTTTGGCAGATACATTATGGTGAGTTAATTCCATTCTTTCGTTGAAACTGTCTAGAATGACTATATACATTTGATATCAGAAAAACTTTATTTTCCTTATTCCTCCCTCAATTGGAGAAACATCCCCAAAAGCAGATTTTTCATGGCTCAAACCACCAAAAGCTAAATGGTAGGTAGGTTTACCTATGTCCCTTTGCTTTTACAGGCTGAATGAATAAAGTGCCTTCAGTAGGAGACTTCTGCATAGAGAGCACAAACCAATGCTATAGGATTCAGGTGGCAGAGTAGAGTCCACAATAGCACTGAGCTTTTTTTGCACCTCCAAGGAAGACGAATGATGAGGAAGAGCTGTGGCAGAAGTAGCCTCAGGCAAGAAACGTGATGCTGTGACACCCCCTCTCCATCTGCTTGCAGAAAAGAAGCCTGTGCTGTTGAGTGAACGTGGAGCAGAGGGAAGCACTGAATTTCTCAAGAAGAAGACAGAAAAATGTGCTGATTTTCTCTATTGGACAAAGATGCCAGCATTAATTTGTGGTGGTTTTTTTGTTTGTTTTTTTTTTTTTTTTTTAGCTGGATAGAAGACTGAAAGCTAATTTTGTCACTGTAACAGTGTTTAAGGCAGAGATATTTTAGCATCCAAAGACATTGAAACTGAGATGTAAATGGGAACAAAGGAATATATCCAAAAACTACTTGGATTCAAAATAGTTACTAAACCACCCTATAATTCACTCTATTGCATCGTGTGTGCTTCCTATAGTGAAGGCATTGATTACTTGTGTGGAAGCTCTTCCCGCCCCAAGAAAGGGCAAAAATGAAAATTGCATTTACATAACAAAAAAATATTTTTTTCAAAAAATTCAATTGGCCAAATTCAGCTCTGGAGGAAAGTGCCTTTGCCATCAGTGGATTGGTTTGGTCCAAAGCATCTAAATCTTAAAAGCTGCTTAAGAAAAGATGGTTGTCTGGGCTGTCTTCCCACAAATTAAAAAGCTGATTGCAGAGTCTATGTTAACAATATCGGACATTTGCCTCTCATCTGTGAATATCCCTTAATGACTTTTCCCTGAAATGTGGTTTGATGATGTGAATTGATGAAGCTTCACACTGAGTATTTACTTCTGGTGAGATCACTCAGGGATTTCTCAGGAGATGTGTTTGGGAAGATCTGGCCTTGTAATTAGGATGAGAATAATTTGGCAATAGAAAGCAGAGAGATACTTTGTTAGCAGAAGAATGTATGAAAATTGTTCAACTGCTTTTGCTGCCCTTTCTTGCTATTGTTGAAACATTGAAATAGCTACCTCAGAAATCAGTTGTGTACTTGAAGGGAGCCCTACACAGAAGTGTGAAATACTGAATGTAGGCAGTATTCTCTTTGAATAACTCTTCCAAAAAAAGCTCCCAGAATCCTTGTATTCTGTCAGATCGTGGTTGTTTTCTTGAATTAAGAAACACCTCTTCACTTCTATTGCAAATATGATGCCTCTAGCAGCATCTGGTGAGGCCGAAACTCTCATTCCCTTTGTTGCCTGTCATCCTCTGCAGCATATGTACGCCTTTCAGTGTGTGTGCATACAGCCTGTATGTGTGTATGTATGTATCTATGTGTTTATATATTTTGCAATATTTATTTTCTTTACCTTTCGCTCCTCCAAAAGAAAGAAAAGCAGTGGAAAAGAGTTATGTCTTTTAGGCATGGTCTATGTTTTTCCACATGTGTAGGATGGAGCTACGCACCTAGAAGCTGCAGGATACAGGGAGCGATGCTGTGGTCTCTGTGTTCCCACCGTGAGAAGAGTACAAGCAACACTAGGGGCACAGGCAAGCTTGGATGGAGGAGTGGGTGCCATATATGTCTGCCAAAATGCCAGTGAGCATGGTACACCGGAGCCTTGTGTTTATCAGCATCTACATCCATGCAAGCAAGGCATGCTGCAAACTTGCAACTTAATAACCTCTTTGCATCCATACTGGTCCAAACATTCTTTTTGATGTTTTAGGGTATTTCTACTGAACTGTTGGAGTGTATCAAATGTCTGAGTAGTCTGACTGTTAGTAAGCAAATGGAGGGGATCTTGTTAAAGTTGACCTAGAACCCTTTGGGGCATTTGCCAGACATCTTCCCTGAGTAGCACTCTGCAGACAGAAACAGCAGAATCCTTTGTGTTTGGCCGGCACACAAGAATCAGGGAAGGCTATCTATTGCAAAGCTTTGGTGTCTTCCTGTGAGGAACAGTATGTACACATCTCCACTTATCCTCTTGTATTTAATGATAATTTCATTTATTGTCTCACTGGATTTGCTTTTATTAAGGTATTTCACAGAATTGTTGTCCCTCAGTTTAGTTCAGTAACAAAACTGAGTAGCTCATCACTTGCTATGGGAGAGAAAAACAGATGTTTCAGGCTGTTTTCTTATACTGTATTTTTTTATTGTCTTAATATGTCAACTTTAGTTAAGAGAGCAAAAATACTCTTAAAGTGAAAGTAAAAGAATACTGTCATTCCTTGGGTTCAGATAAAAATCTTGAGGTGCCAGAAGAGTTTAATAAGTAATACACCCTGTGTAATGGCTTCAAAGAAACCGTGCTTCACTCCTATCTATCAGGATTAAATTAGATTTATGTTAAAACCAACCTGCAGAATGCATTATGTCTCTGGAAAAAAAAACCCAAACACATTTACATGCAGATTAACAGCAACCAGCACTGGGAGTTAAGTAACAAAAAGGCATTTTTCCTCTCTTTTTGGGAGGGGTTTAATCATCAGAGACCATCCTGCTCCCACAGAATTTAAGAGAAGTAGGAGAGGATGCCTCAGGCAACCATAGAATGAGACATATGAGAAAGAGTAGCGGTATTGGAGGATTCTTGCTGCATGGTAGCTGAGGAATATTACATATTCATGTAAAATTTTTTATGTATTCATACCATGTGAAACTCCTTTGACTGTTTCAGCTACGTAGCACCTGTCTACTTTTCTTTTTAGAGGCCCCCATTTCTGCAAGTTTCTTGAGTTCCGCCCCCTGCAGAGCAAATAAATGTAAGGGCTGATTAAAAGATGGAAATCATTGTCTAAGGGCAACCTTTACTAATGATTTGATAGAGCAGTTTGAATTTTAGTTCACAAAATTTGACCACATTATTAATATTTTCAGATCACAATTTGAAGCAAAGGTATCATTCCAGGATATTTTCACTAAGCTGATCACTTTCTTTTTAAAGGAAATCTATGCAAGAGTCTACAGCATTAATTTAGCTCTAGATATGATAATTAGCCATTTAATATCCATTGGCATTTTCTGGTGGCTATAAACTAGTGGCTACGAACCAAACCTGTCACTTCTTTACAGTCCTTCCCCTCTTCAAAACAACAGACCAATTTATCACCTCATTATATGAATTTTATGTCAGCATATCTTCCTTCAGTTCTCTGGAACTGCAGAATGAAAGCAAAGGCATGGAATAGCATATAAATGTCTCAAAGTCTTCAGAATTCACAGTTTTCCTAGCTCCTTTAGGTACTGAAAGTACCATTAATTCTAGGTGAATGGTATTCTCTAGGTGAATGGTATACTTTGACACCAATTTCCCTTCACTCATTAGTTCTTATAATAGACATAAATCAGAATATCCTCCTGGATCAGCTCAGAAATCTTCAGGCTTTCTGTCCACTTAACTTCACACCTGCTAAATATTTCCAAATACTTTTCTATATGGTTAGAGAAGACCTCCTAGTCCCATTTTTTTCTCTTGGAATGTCTCTCAAGGAGCTTGTCTTTGTCTCTCTTCCCTCACTTTTATTCCTTCATCTAAGCTTACATTTCTTTAAGTCTTGAAGACGTTTCTGAGTAGAAACTAAAATCTTGCTATTTTTACCTTTTCCATACAGAATTTACCTCTGTTTCATAAACTTTTAAATTGGCTATATGGATTCTTATAACCCATAAGTAATAATTTATAAATTATAATACTATTCTGTGTTCAAATTCTAATATTTGTCTTCTCATATTAGTCTTATACCTCACACCTTGCTGGAATCTTTTACTTTGCACCTATTTCAAGGAGGAATCCAAGTGTGACCTGGATAGAACATGCAGAGGTTTTGTAGGTGCTACCAGTGTGGATACAAGAGAGAGAGATAAAGTGCTTATGGCAAGTCTGACATAACTCAACTAACGTCTAGTACTAACAAGATAATAAATCTCTGAAAAAACAATACTATCTATGTGATTCCACTTCCAAATAATGTTTCCCTCTTCTCTACTGTATCAGGGCTTAATTAGATGTTGATACTTTGGTCTGTGTTTGGCCCAGCCACTTGTGAAAGTTTGTTCTTTTCCTGCCAAGTTATGAGAAAACAAGCACTCGTAAACACGAGAACTTGATCCTTGAAGCAAGTATCTTGTATAAACTGAAATTAATTGGTGTCTTATGATTGGCTGACCACCTCCCAGGGGTGTTTGAAGAGGAAAGTGAAGAGGAGGATGATGAAGTAAGCCCCCAGACTCATTCAGAAAAGACCCCTGACGTTTAGTGCGCAAGCACGGGGGGATTTCCAAGGTACCCACGCATGTGCAGAAGAGATGCCACTTGCATAATGGAGGGTGGGACTGAAGGCCTCTAGCTGGGCTGTGCTGGCCACACCTGCCCAGGCAGACATCACCAATTAATTGTATAAAAAGCAGATAGCTCATGCTGGGTTGGGTTTTTTTGGCAAGCTTCACATCAAAGGACAGCGTTGCCTTTTGTGGGGATGCCCGCTATCTTGTGAGCCTGCCGACTCTCCGAGAATGCAGCTTCTACCATGGGTAATTCTAGGCATTCTGGGTTGGTAAGATAACTTCATAAGCAACACCTGGGGGAATGGGGGAGTCATACTGAGGGCTTATTTTTCCTACTCCTTCCTCTCTCTCAGGTTTTCATTTTGTTGGCCACCTCTTGGTAATAAATATTGGGTTTTGTTGAGCTTTCAATGGTGTATTGTTTCAGTTTCAGCATCCTTTGGAACTCTCCCTGATATATCTACTTAAGGGCAGTATTTCCAACCTGGATTTTGTTCCAAAGTCAAGGTACCATATTTTTTTCTTCATGTATTAGCAAATTCATGGAAATTTCACCTTCAGAAAAGTTTGTTACCTCCTTTTATGTGGTTCAAATGAAACATCTCACTCTGAAGATCATTAGATTACCATCCCTCTCACCACATTTAAAAAGAAAAATATTTTCAGTTGTCCATTCTTTATTTTTTGTTTTCTTTTGTACTGAATAAACTATCCAGATCAGGAGCCAGGGCCTTTATGTGCGAGGTGTTGGGGTTTTCTAATGTTTTAAAACATTTCAAGCCTTTTCGTATTACAACTCCAAATCCCTAGCTCTGATTTGCCCACAGTGGAACTTCATACAGTCCAGACAAGACACAGCAGCTCTAAGTCAGCTGATGAACTGGTGTCAAGGGAGAGAGTGGGCAGTGAGAGACATTTCCTTCAGCTCGTGGTTTCTCAGCTGCAGATCTGCTTGTGCTTCCTACAGACACAGCAATAATTCCTTGGGAACTCAGCATCAAAATAACTGTCAAAAGTTTCTCCTAGATATTTTGGTCCTAAAGTGTCCTATATGCCATTGCATATGTGATACACCCTATGTGGGAGGGGTAGCACATTGTACTGCTGCCTGTTTGTGACATGGAGGTTAAAGGCTCCAGAGTTCGTCAGCTGTCCCTACTGAGA